CCACTGCTGGCCAACTTGGTCGGCCTGCCGTTGCCGGTGCCATCTTGCGCAGAGGAAGTCTCTGGCGACATCACAGAGCTTCGACTGCAACGTTGACAAGTCAAACGGCTCTCTGGCGAGAGTGGTCAACTTTTGATGGCCGATCTTGGTGTCTTCAACTTTGATCGAGTTCTTGCATGGCTCGCCTTTTTTTGTCATCCCGCAACAGGAGCCGGGACCGCCATTAGGGCTGACCTCTATCTCACAAACCAGAAACGGATTCCAAGGCAGCATGGTAGTTATTGAGGTGGTCGTCAAAGGCAGAAAATGCTTCGGATTGTGGTGGTGTTGGGCAATCACCGCAGCGTTCCCTCGCCAGCTTTATATGCCATCGCGTGGGCTCCTTACCTACCTGGATGCGTGGCTGGCATGGAACACGTCCTTGAAACAGTCGGTACGTCCGAGAATGCATTCGCACGCAGTATGCGCCGTATACTGCTGATCAGTGGCCTGCGAGAAGGGATATCATTCCAGATCACTGCTGCAATCAGCTGCACTTGTGACTGTCCATCGTGGTGACCAGGCAGTGGCGAACAGACTGGCTACTGCGGTGAGCAGCAAAGTCGACATATGCTGGGTGAAATTCTGGGTTGCCTATGGAATTCGGAAGTGCGTGATAGGTTATGATCTACTCTTATGGCGCTAGATGAAAGTGGGTACCAAGATAGATTCGGGTTCCAGGCTATCGACATAGCCAGGAAGTGATTTGGCGTTCCCGGGAGCTAGACCCCACAGATTCTCCAACTCCGCCTGAATATTGTTGTCAAAGCTTTGATGCTGCCGTGTGATTGCTACGCACCTCTCAGCGGACTGACAGACTACACTCCTAGCTGACTACGGAATTTGGCTGAGGTGAGTATATAAAGGCCTCCCATATCCTACTTTCACATCTCTCACCTCACCCCTATATACATTTCGTTTGCTCCATCCGCTGTCCAATCATGGTCTGTTCAATTCGATTTACGGAGTTTACCGATGAGCTAATACATTACAGCCAAACATCAGAGACCTGCCCAACGAGCTTTTGCTGTGGATTGTGTCGTATTTGGACGGTAGTGCATTGTTTGCCCTCGCAAAATCATGCAAAGACTTTGATTTTAAACTGCAGCCCAGCATCTGGAAATACAACATCAAATTTCAGAACAGCAATCTATTGCACTTGGCCGTCAAATACGACAACGTTGGTCTTGCGGAGGCTTTGCTCCAGCACAACGCCAACATCAATGCATTTTACCGCGGCAAATCTCCTTTAATGAGGGCGCTCAAATACTCGTCCGCTGCTGTGCGTGACCTCTTGCTCAGTCGTGAAGATCTAGATATCAATATTCAAAATCAAGCGCGGGAGAGCGCCCTGTGGTATGCCATCCACTACGGAACCTTTTCCACCGTCAAGCGCGTTCTAGAACAACCCAACGTCCAGGTGGACGTCAAGCACAAACATGGCCGAACGGCGCTCCACCTAGCAGTCTTCGCAGGCCGAATAGGGCTCGTGCATCTGCTACTTTCTAGTGGCAGCGACCCTGATCTACAGGATGATTCGTGCCACTCGCCATGGGACAGGGCACGTCGCTTCAATAGACCCGCGATGGAAATGATCTTTTCAAACTATCCGATGGCCGAAGTATTTCTTGGTACTCAATCATCACAGGAGGCTGAGCTGCCTCTTCACCAAGCAGTATCCTATGGGTCGGTAGACGCT